GTGAGTTCCAGGTGTTGGATCCGTCGGGATAGGTCCGTTGCCTCGAGCTGCTTTGTCGTCCACGACCTCTACCCCGAGCGCCGTTGCCTCGCCCGCCACCGCGTCCATAGCCGTTGCGCTGTCCGGAGGAGCCGCCCTCACCGTAGCTGCCGCCGTGCTGGAGCCTGCCGCCATGGAAACCACCGCTGTCGCTGCTGCTGTGCTGGGGTCCCCCGCTACCGCCGCTGACGGCTGCCGACCACCGCCGTTGACGTCGGGCCTGCCGGCAAGAAGGGCCGTGCTACTCAAGTCGGCCATGGGGTTGCGTTGTCGGTCCAAAAGCATGAGAGCGGAGCGGGCTTGGAGAAAAGTGGGCAGCGGATCCTGAAATTGAAGAAAAGACGTCTGGGCTTGCAAATCATCGGGGAGACCACGGAGCATCTGAAGAACCAATTGATGTTGGGACACCGGGGCATCCACATCGTCTAGCCAGTCTGCAAAATTTTGCAGATGTTGACAGTAGGCCGCCATAGAAGTGTTGCCTTTGACAGTGGTACGGAACTCGTGCTAGAGTTGCATGGCACGAGCATTCTTGTTGTCGTGAAAAAGATCATGGATAACTTTCCAAAGAGCAGAAGCGGTGGAGACAGATGAGATAACCAGATCCGAGACTTCGTCGGAGATGGTGGATAAGATCCATCCTTGGAGGAGAGCGTCAAGTTGGAGCCACTCATTGTCGTCTTCGGAGAGAGGGACGATGGAGCCATTGATGTAGCCTTGGAGATTGAATCGGCGAACCAAGAGGAGGAAAAAGCGACTCCACTTTTTTATAGTTCGGTTGAGAGAGACTAAGAAGAACCGGAACGTGGAGTTTGACGTTAGAGACCGTCGTGAAGGCAAGATGAGGGGTTTTCGCCGGGGTGGAGTTGGAGGTAACCTCGCTTTCGGCCATTGAAGAGAGGAGAGAGAGCCGAAGGGAGAGGGGGAGGTAGCGCCGCCGCTGGGACTGCCGACGTCGAAGGAGGGACGGCGGCGCGGCGCTGAGTCTGCCGCGGGAGAGAGGGAGAGCCGAGAGGTAGGGTTAGGGTTTTTTTTGTTGTTTAATTAGGCTCTGATACCATGAAGAATTATAATTTTCATTGATCAAAAGAGTTGTGATTACATGTATATATATAAGAGGAGTCTCAATCCTAAACAAGGTAGGAGAGACACAAGTAAGGAAACTTATACAAATTAGGTAAGGGAATAATACAATATATTAAATATATACAATATATTTAACAATATATACCCATTGTACATAATAAACAAAGAATACAATAGATTTTCAGCCCAAAAGTACTTCTGCCTAACATCATTTCACTTTCTTTTTAAAAAATTTGGATGCGTTGTGTCAGACCAAACCCATGAGTTTTTTTTTATATTTTAAAAAAAGTAGGCGTGATCCTCACCTTTTTGGTGTGATGGGAAAAAGAAAATCGGTGCCGTCAATGCTGCCGGACTGAATCGGGTGGTACTCCTTGGCGTAGAACATCGCGTTTAGGTTGTTGCTCCCCGCGTTCAGTACACTGGTGATGTGCAAAGCCCCTCCGTGCCGCCATCCAGCCAGCCTAGGGTAGAAGGTTAGCCGGCCTTGTCGTCTCCCTGTTGTCCATGGCGGAAGAAGGACCAAAACCCTAGTAGCTTTGTCTTCTCCTCTTGAGAGAATCGAAGATAAGTCGTAGCTCCTTGGCGTAGATCTCGATCGGATTACCTTGGAGAAGCTTACGGAATACGCCGGCCGCTCGATTGCCTTGAGAAGCTTACGGAATAGAGTACCTTGGAGAAGCTTACGGAATACGCTGCACTTTAGGCTTCATAGCCCACATTTTAACCCCAGCCCATTAAACAATGACCCGGCCCAAAAATTTGGGCGGGAACACTGTTCATTTATGGCTCTCACCATTGTATATATAGAGATATAGAGATATCCCATGAATATTGAACAAGATAAGGTTTTACTTCAAGAATAAAGGCTTTGAGCGAGTAACAACATTTAAAAAACAACAAAAAACCGGGCAAAATCTTATAAAAGTAAGATAAATATACAAAATAAGGATTATATTTATAAAATGGTCCTCTCTAATAATGTATTTTCTTAGATGAGTGCTAAATAATTTTTAATTACCAACATAGTCCTCTATAATTGAGATTTAATTATTTCCTAGATAGTCATTTGTAAATAATGTTTCTCACTAGATGATTAATTGAGGAATATTTTGGTATTTTTTATCAGCTAAGTTTAGAATAAGTTCTTAAAATTATCATATCTAATGAAGTATTTTCCCAGTATGGTTTTTTCTAATTAAAGATGTGTATTTGATTCGAATTTTAAAAGATTTTTATAGGTTTTTAATAATTCATGGATGTGTATAGTCAATGTATTTTTTTAATTTTACATTTAATTGTATAGAAATTACTATTTGGGCAATATACTTTAAATTAAGATGATAGAAATATCAAAATACCATTTAGTTAGTCATAATTTGAGTAACATTATTTTCAAAGGACTATTGAGGAATGAATCTCAATTATAAATGACCACGTAGATAATTAGAACTTATTGAAGATTGAATTGAAAATATACTTTATTATAAAGAACTATTTTGGAAATATGCTCTAAAATAGGTGAAAACCCCCAAAAACTAACACCTTTTTTAATTTGTTAGTGATTTCAACGTGATTATTAGTGTGCAACTCTACCGGACTAGAAAATGTTTGTCTAAAACGGAAATAACACATGCTTTTTGTCCGGACTTTAAGAGGGTGTTTGGGAGTGATTTACTTGTGGATAAAGTGATTTCCACAAAAGCTGAAAGCAAAAGCACCTCATAATTGGTTCTCCGAAACGGTGTTCTATGTATAAAATAGTAGTGGTGAAAAGCAGAAGCTGACATGCCAAACAGAATAAAATTACTTCCACTCAAAGCAGAAGCTAAATTATTAAAAGCAGCACACTGCCAAACACCCTCTAACTCTCCCCCTCCTAAAATTGATTTTTTTGTTAAAATATACGATATTTAACTGAAATTATTTATAATTTAATTTATTAAAAAATTAGTGTGACAACAACAACAAAGTCTTATCTCATTAGGTGGAGTTATCTACATGGATCAACAAAATTTGGTGTGAAATTTAAAAATAAAAATTACTTTGTGTATATTTAAAAACTACATCCTATCAAAAGATTTGTGAAAGTTGAAATGACATAACTATATTATTTTATCAAAGAAATAACAAATCAGACTAATAAAATAGATAAAATTTGATCTAATGAATAGTGAAAGAGATAATAGTTTTAAGACGGGGGAAGTAAAAAAGAAAGAGTTATATGCACAAATAGTCCTTGTGATCTTTCATAAGTGGATAAATAGTTCTTATACTTTTAAAAGTTACAAAATAATCCTTGTGGTCAAAGAATTGATGCATAATTAGTCCCTTCTTTAAGAAAAACGCAAAGCATACATAATATATAAACGTACTATGTGAAAATGTGGAACATGTAACAAAAAAGAAGTTAATCTCATGAAACTGCTCTCGTCTTCGTGGTTAAAGGCAAGGAATTGTCATTTTCTAGCTCTTTTCTCACATGATATTATCTTAGAATAAAGCTGCTTGAAAAATAGAATAAATACTTATGACTCCTATTTTAGAGTTTTCATAGTATTTTACTTTTATCTAGGGAGTTCTCCCGTATAAATAGCTTAGGCTTGCAAATGTATTTTTATTGATCTTTTTTAAAATAAAATAGATATGTAAAAACTTATTTTGTAGAATTTTTATGTAATTTTTAAATATGAAGCTATATGGGCGGTAGGGGTGCATGGTATGGTAGTAGAAGAACCAGGGCCAATCTGAGGTGGGCCAAGCAACCCTATCGGACATAGCCTAATATTTTAGGAGCTAATTTTTTTGAATATTATATACTATCTCCGTCCCACTGTCTTTGTCCACTTTTGACTTTTGGAACTGTTCATCTAAGCACTTTAACTCATCAAATTCTCTCAATGTGTAAGCCAAAAAATAGTCATGTGTGATCTTGTTTGATTCGTCTTAACATATAGATTATTAATATATAATTTTTATAATTTTTTAATATACAAATTACAAGATAAAATGGATTAAAGAAGTGCATTGGATGGTGTGCCAAAAGGTAAGTGGACAAAGACAGTGGGACGGAAGGAGTATATATATAAAGATTATGTAGCCCAATATTTTAGAGTCTATAGCGGTGTTGAACTTAAGTGTTTTGGTGTGCTGGAAGATACTCCATCCACTTGAACTAATAAACATTTTGTTATGTAGGTCACGCAATATGATATAATGATACTCCGTATATATTTAGACTGCGTTGATTTCAATAAAACTTTCAATTATTTAGAAAAAGAAACCTAGTAGTATCTAAAATACTTATTTTATGATCTTAAAAAATAGTTTAAACAATAAACACATAAAAATTGTTCATGTTTTATCTAAAAATTAATATGAATACTTATACCTAAAAATTACTTTTTTCAAAATTTAAAAAAACTTAAAAAATTATTATCGTCAATAAAAATTAAGAAATATGTAATAATTATACTTTAATATACTAAAATTAATTTTTTTGCTTTTACTTTTTGTCATTTCAATCAACTAGATTTAAGTCTAAAGTGTTACATATGGATTACCAACTAGATTATAAAAAGCACATTACCAAGTCTTTACTTTTTAAACTCTTTACTATGGTTCTTTCATTTACTCATTCTGTTATAATACTATTACGTTAATTATCATTTAAATATAATTGGTTTGCACACTTTAATTCGTTGTTAGACCATTCGGGATAAGGCCTTTGAGCCTTTCGTTCCCTTCTCGACCTGGACCATAGAATTCTCAGGATCGGTCTTGAGAAGAACACGCCTAAATAGATTTTATTCGTCAATATTGGAAGACATTGAGAGTTGTAAAAAATAGGAGTTCAAAAAACTAATAAGTGTTAGAAGAAAATTGAATAAGTTCAAAGAAACTTAAATAACTTGGAAGAAAACTTGAATGAGTTAATATTAGGAAATTAAAAATTAGAACCTGAAAAAACATATCCAAAGGAGTGAACGTAATACAAAAGTGAACAATTGGGGTATTTTAGGAAAAATAATTGTTTGGGTTACAAAAGTGAAGAATATGGGTATTCCAGGAAAATTAATGTTCGTCAATACTCGGTATTTCTCAATTTTTACCATAATTCATTAATTCCTGGAAAAAATACATTGTGTTTTAATATAAATCTAATAGCAATTGATTTACTCCCTTCGTCCCCTAGTTTTTGTCCACTTTTGACTTTTGGAACTGTTCATCTAAGCACTTTGATTCATCAAATTCTCTCAATGTGTAA